TCTCCCAGGTTTCCAAACAGTGAACTACAACCGGGCCCTCCATTCAGCCATAGGACTACCGGTGCGTTCTCGGGATCCTTTTGACTCTCAACGAACCAATAGAAGTAATGTTTGCCTTCAGTTATATCCAAATAACCGGAATATTGCTTGAAATTGATTGCCTTTGGGAGTCCGGGTAAGTCTTTTATCTCATCATCATTTGCTGCAAACACGAAACATAGGTTTACAGAAAATATAACAAAAATGTTATAAATTATAAAATGATTCATGTTTGGTTAATAATGATTTAGTAAACTTAAGTAATAAGTTTTAATATTTTAAAGATGCCTTTTATAGCTAATGTTTGTATGTCTAATCATGTGAGTTTAGTAACAATTGCACTTAAAATACATATGAAATTTAATGTCATTTCTTAGAATCTATTTATTAATAGATATTACAACCATTCAATGTTACTGTCGTATGTGTCAATTGTATGTCAATGAGATTAACACTTTAATTTCTATGAAGGGGTCCCATATATGATATATCTTACAATATTTCTATATGAATTGTCATTAATGTGTGTATTTTCTACTGTATAGCTTATTATTTCAAATCATAAGTAACTTTTAGATAATATCGACTTTAAAGATCTAAATATTAAATATACTCTTAACTTTCTCATTATATTCTTATAATTCAGGCTACAATCAATACAAACTTGCTAAATATTTAATTATCAAATTCTTAACACCAAATAAAATATAATTCATTTTAAAATTATATAACACTTTTGTTTATTTTATTATTTTTATCATTAAAACTGTGTAATTCCGACGATATTCTTGAGTAACTGTAGGGCAGCCTCTGGTTTGTCGTGAGGGACCATATGTCCGGCCCCGCGGACTAACACGAAGCTCAGGCTTTTCTCGTAGTGCTGCACAAAACCAGCAACACTTCCATCGGGTGTTGTCCACGAACTGAATGCAAACATTTTTAATCACTAAATGTATATTATAATTATATTATAATTATTGTTATCTTTATAAATATATCAACAATTCTCAACTATAAATACGTCAATTACAGAGTAATAAGTAATTGGTGTTACCTATAGGGGCCAACTTTTGTGAGTCCCAGACTGTCAACAAATCGCTGGTTATCAATGAAATCACATACAGTGTCAAAGTTTCCGTTAAATATTACAATTTTTCCAATTTTATATGTATTTAAAAGCTCATTAATTACTTTACGTTGGCCTGTAATAGTACCCTCGTACTTACCACCACAATCAGACCACTTATGGGTGTCTTCATTTCGTACGTGCAGTGCTTTACGTACTTGTGGTAAATTGAGATAATCTTCATAACCATCATGAGGACAATTGTAATTATCATTAGACCTTTCGCTGATAGGTTTTTTGTTTAATTTCTTTGCGTAATATCTGTTATAAAGTCTAATATAAGCGGAATTAGCGCCACAATCATCGTATATGTTGTATGGGTTGGGAGGGCTCACAGATTCTTCTTGAACTGAACCACATTTACTTTAAACCAGGAAATCATTTAATAAATTAATATTCAGCTTAAAACATAATTTTAATGAATTATAGTAATCACGTATAATTTATAAATCAAATACTGTATACAAACGTTTCATTTGCAGGGTTATAGAAATCGCATTCATGTCTCACTTCTCCAGATTTACATTCACAGCAATTCTCAATCTTTTTCTCGTAGGTGTCCGTTGTTAGCAATCCATGTCCTAATTGGAAATCATATCCTGACATAAAAGTAAGTGGCCCGACATCGAGATCCCCATTTCCAATTGCAATGCCTTTTAAATAATTAAATAGATTGTAAAAATCATCTAAATTTTTAATATTGTATACCATTTAAATTAATTGTGGATTTAGTGTTGAATATCTGTTGGGCTAACATTGGTATATAAATTCCGGCATAACTTTCACCCGTTATATAAAATGGGTTTTTCTTAAAATTAGGGAACTTTTCGAAAAACGCTTCGAGAGCTAAATGGTTGTCCTCTGCGGTAGACTTATCTGTGTTGTGATACTTCTTATCGTCTTTATAACTAAAGCCGACACTAACCGGGGATTCAAGATATATGACATTCGCCACTGTATTCCAACTGTGAGGGTTCAACACCAGGGTCTTCCCGTCAGAATTCACTCGAAAGGGTCCGTTCTCTCCCAGGTTTCCAAACAGTGAACTACAACCGGGCCCTCCATTCAGCCATAGGACTACCGGTGCGTTCTCGGGATCCTTTTGACTCTCAACGAACCAATAGAAGTAATGTTTGCCTTCAGTTATATTGGTTCAACACCAGGGTCTTCCCGTCGGAATTCACTCGAAAGGGTCCGTTCTCTCCCAGGTTTCCAAACAGTGAACTACAACCGGGCCCTCCATTCAGCCATAGGACTACCGGTGCGTTCTCGGGATCCTTTTGACTCTCGACGAACCAATAGAAGTAATGTTTGCCTTCAGTTATATTCAAATAACCGGAATATTGTTTAAAATGAATAGCTTGTGGAAGACCCGGAAGATCTTTGATTTCATCCTCATTAACTGCTAATACTAAACATATGTTTAATACAAAAATACTAAAATAAAAATGAATTTTATTTAAACTCATAATTATAATAACAAATATCAAATACTAATTATTGTTTCAATAGTAAATATTAAAAAATTAAATGTATAATAAATTGTTATTAATAATTAAAAGAGAAATTAGAAAGAGAGTATTAAATATCTTATTAATTAGTTATCTTTAAAATATTTATAATATAATGCACTCAAACATATGATTAATTTTTCTAAGATAACTAATTTAATGCTATTCGTACTGTACCAAGGTGCCGATTAAGATTAATCGTAGAAGTGGTCGTGTACCGTACTTGACAATAAAATTGCAAATGATTAAATGTGCCCAACATTTCGCTATAATAAATATTATATCTTATCTAAAATTATTTGAAGTATCTAAATATCTCAATTTTGCCCGTTTCAGATATCTAAATCCATTAGATAATTTATTTTAAATTCATCACAAATAAAAATAAATTATTTATAGCAGTTATTCATAAACAAAGGTAGTTTTCTATATGAATATTTTCAATTAATTATTCTAAAATAAAACCAACAAAATGATCATGCTGCAACTGCAATATTTTTAATTGAGTTAATAAAATTGTTTATTTAAATGTGTTAATACAGTACATAATTAATATAAAAACTTTAATTTTTCATTAATTCTAATTAGTATTACACTTAAAACTGTGAAATTCCGATAAAATTCTTGAGTAACTGTAGGGCAGCCACTGGTTTATCGTAGGGAACCATATGTCCGGACCCGCGGACTAACACGAAACTCACGCCCTTCTCGTAGTTTTGCACAAATCCACCGACAAATCCATCAGGGTTTTTCCATTCACTGGAAAACCGTTATAAATAAAATGGTTAACGAATCATTAAATTATTTACAATTTATGAAAACCATGTGTTTTTATACCTGTAATGTCCGACTGATTTAAAGCCGAGTCCGGCCACAAAGCGTTGGTCACCAATAAAATTGCAAACAATATCAAAGTCCCCGTTATAGACGACAAACTTCTCGAGTTTATATGTATTAATCAACTCAAGTGTTGTGTCTCTCTGTGGTGTCATATATTTGGTCCGATCGTAAGAACCGCCGCAATCGCTCCAGTGTTTGGCATCACTCCTAACGTGTATTGCTTTTCTAACTTCGGCTAAATTAAGGTAATCTGCGAAACCATTGTGAGGACATTTGACAGCATTTGCTTCAGACTGAACCCTCTTTGCAAATTTAAAGCCATGTTTCTCATAGGTTTCGCGATAATACTTGTCAAACAATTCTTGATACCCTTTACTCGCATCACAATCATCATAGACATTGTAATGGTTGGGAACGTCTACCTGTTCCAGTTGGGTGGCCTCACATTTGCTATATTTTACAAATTATAAATAATTTTAAAACATTTTATAAATTAAATAATATGATTAGCCTAAAGTGGAATATAATTTTGGTTCAAACCTAGCATTTGCTGGCTTAAAGAAGTCGCATTCATGTAATACTTGTTCCGTTTTGCATTCACAACAGTTTTCAATTTTACGTTCATATGAATCAGTGGTAATCAATCCGTGGGCTAAGAAGAAGTCATAGTTGGACTGATCAAAGATTGTCCCTGTTAATACACCATTTCCAAT